ACGTGGGAGCCATTGAACAGTACACAGCACTGCAGCTCAAAATTTTAGACAAGGAAATAAAGAGTTACCTCATCCGATCCTGACACCATGGAAGGAATTGTTTGGGAGTTGGCCAGGGGGCTGGGATTAGGATTTTTTCTTGGAACCAGAGAACCTTTAATGACCCAAAAAACACTCTTTGTCAGATGGGTTTCCAAAGGTTAGGCTTTTTTGGGGGCCATGTCACGTTGTAATGGTAATCAAACATCACGTGCACCTCCAAGGAACATCAGCTTCAATCAGGGATGAGCAACATAGCCGACGTTGGCTCTGTGACCTGATTCAGCTAGCAAAGGGGTAAGACTGGAGACTCTGCCAATACTCTTTACTGCGCGGTGATCCCCACAGCTGAAAAGTCTGCCTCAAAGGAAGGTCAGGGCAGTGCAGTGCAGACCTGATACTGCCAGTGCTAACGGCAAAGAGAGCATGGCCAGCTTGGCGAAGAGCAGCGCTAATTCAGTGCATTTCCAAAGGCTTTTGTGGTGCCATAATTCAAAGCTCTCTTGCCCAGTGGCAGTCTCAAAAGACAGCAGCAATGCAAACAGCATCCCCCTTTCCCTGGGGGTCAGGAGTGGATTCTCTTCCCAACCAATTGCAGAAGCTTCTGCTTATGCACAGAGGTTCACTTTACAGTTCAATGGAGGTCCAGACCACTAAACTACACCTTTCCCCAACCTGTATGGACCATATAAGCCCATAATGGTTTTGTCAGTACGTCTCATTTATACCACACTAACATTTTACCAGCAGGTTGTTGGGCTTTTTTAATTATAACCTAATCTTCACTTGCTATTTTTTCCCAATTACTGGTTCTTATTTTCTGAATGAATGTTTTATTTATGGAAATACTGTGCTTTGACTACAGTCTGGGGGAAAGAAGCAAGGAGCGAGAGTCTTCAGCTGTCATTGTGTTGTGCTTTCCCATCTTGCAGCGTAATAGTTTTCCCAGCAGCAGGGCTTTGGATTTAGCAAAATTGGTGTAACTGAGATAATTGTATCTCATTGTTAATCTTCAGTGATACTGATTCAGAATTACACCATTTTAGATAATGGGTTTTAAATTCATTGGAAAAAAAGATTTTGTTTCACTGTCTCTTGCAAATGATTTGGAAGGGAGGCGGAGTTCAGCTTCTCATGCAGCGATAGGTTAAATATGTAGATTACAAATTATTAAAATAATGATATCGCTTTTTCCAGGGGATGGTGGATATGCCAAAGATGCAAAGCTGAAAGCACCTTCTTCTCTAGCAGTCTCTCCTGATGACACACTGTACATAGCAGACCTTGGCAACGTTCGCATCCGTGCAGTCAGTCGAAACAAGGCTCATCTCAGTGACATGAATATTTATGAGATTGCATCCCCAGCAGACCAAGAACTGTATCAGTTCACCACCAACGGGACCCATCTCCACACACTGAATCTGATAACAAGGGACTATATTTACAATTTCACATACAACGGGGAAGGGGATATTGGCACAATCACTAGCAGCAATGGGAATTCAGTTCATATCCGCAGAGATGCGAGTGGGTTGCCTCTGTGGCTGGTGGTGCCCGGAGGCCAGGTATACTGGCTAACAATAAGCAGCAATGGTGTCCTGAAGAGGGTCTATGCTCAAGGCTATAACTTGGCTCTGATGACGTACCCGGGCAACACAGGTCTTCTAGCAACCAAGAGTGATGAAAACGGGTGGACAACTGTGTACGAGTAAGTCCATGACTTAAAACGTCTGACGTAAAAAAAACATAATTTAGAACGAAAATTACGCCTTTTCTTTTTGAGTCGGGTCTAGTAATTTTGAAAGCCATGCTGCTGATAACTCCACATGATGGGAGACAAGTTGAGCTGCTGCATAAGCTTTATTCAAAACAGCCGTATTGTCTAAAGCACCAAAGCCTACCATATGAAAAAGCACTATACTTAGTGTACGTCAAGTGAAGCAAAAAGTACTTGAAATTACACTTCATTTGTACTTTGTTATTTGGAATTGCTGTTACGTATAAGATATGTTTATAGCTTTTCATGGATAGCAGCTGCAGAAAGAGAGAGAGAGAGTGAGCTCGGATAGGGGGCCATAAAATAACTTTGGAGAGTGTCATTTTTGTAATTATTTGCACTGCATTTACTGTGCTAATTAGGGTGGCGGAGAACGTACCTGTGGGACTCCTTTATAACTGAGGGAGTGCCAAGAAAAGGTGGCTTAGCAGGTGGAAGGAGCTGAGTGGTGCACAGGAATCTGCCTTGGGGTGGAAGGTAAGGAGGGAGAAACAGAGTTAGCAGAACCCTGGACTCAAGAAGGGAAGCCGGCAAATGGAAATTAAGGCGGGGATCTCAAAAAGAAGAAAGGTGTGAATATATGGAAGATGTAAAGTTGCTAACAATAGGAAAATAAGATGTATAATAACTAGCAAGGGAATGTGGAAAGGCCTGAGGACCAAGCAAAGCAGCAGAAACTTTCTATAAACCTGACAAAAGCTAGAAAAGATGGCTGATGATGTCAGGCAAGGAGTTATCAAACATTCAGATGTCAGATGGAGGTTGTGGGTAAGAAATAGTTCACGTTTGGTTCTAGGGATGTATTAAGCATCAAGACTGCTTATTGTTAGCCATCCCAGTTTGGGGGTAGATGGAAGACACGTAGATAGCATTTTATTAATACTTCAGAGGTGGTACAAGAAGGGAGGAAGGGTGCTTTCCAATAATGAAAGGGGCTAAAAAGCTGAGGTATGGTCTAAAATGTGCCTTGGAAATAACCATGTTAGAGATATCAGAAAACATACTGAGGAGAACCAGGTAATAGCAGAAAGTGCCTCGGGAGGTGATTGAGTCACCGTAATTAAGGAGATTCAGAAATATATTTTATAAAAGCCGAGTGGGGTTAATGCAGAGAAAATTGCTGCTTAGTGCATGGCGGGGAGTGGATGCCCAAGGAGACCTTTTCCCATCCTGACTTCTCCAATTCTGGCACAGACTGATTAAACTAATAGGGTTGATAGAAGCAGTCTAAAATGGAGATGTGTCTGGTGTTGACAGTGTGCGGGACATCAAAATGAGACATGCCCCTTCCAAGCTCAGCTGTCGTTCTCAGGAATTTCACTGATAGAAATTTCAACCATCGCGTGCGCCAAAGCAAAGCCCCTGAGTTAGGTCAGCGCATGTACTCTGTTCCCGGTGCTTTTTGACAGTGATCTGACAACATTGTTCCCTACTCTAAGAGCCTCCAATGTAGATCCAGCTCATATGTATTTCATGAATATTTGAACTGAGCATTCAGCAGCTATGGGTATTAGGTTTGATTTTTGGCTCTTGTAACAATTCATACAGTATGGGCTTGGCCCATTTCAGTCATTACGGCAGAACTACGGCATCGGGGTCTGAGCTACTGGTCCTTTACTATTTCAGTATTTCTACTATTACAAATTTCATAACAGCTCCAGGTCGCAGTGCCGCAGGGAATACAGGCCCTGGTCTCTTCCAAAACTAATTAGTGCCCTCCATTACAAGGGTTTGATTTACACTGGAGTAGCTGAGAACTTCAGAGCAGATGACTTTCAGTCATCTCTCACGGTTGATTTCATTCAAGGATATTTACTCGGGCCCATTTAAATTTATGCAGGACATTCCCTTCAAAATTATTTCACAAAATTATTGCTCGAGTCTCTTGTCCTCTGGCGAGTTGTTTGTTCAAGCATGACACCAGCTTTATAGTAACATTTGTTACAGGGAACTCGGCCTTCTCCCAAGTGTCTTCTACACTGTATGTCATGCAGACTCAGAGACCTCTGTACCTTGAAGGGATATAGCACTGTCTGAGGACACAATATTCGAAAAGCAAAGGGTGCCCCAAATTAATATGATGTGTATGACTAACCTAAACAAGTTTTGCTAAATTAAACATTTCTTCACACTCTCACTGTTTCAACTCCAGGCTGTGCAGCGCTCTGTCATCACTCATGCTTTGTATTACACTGACGATCCTCCACTTCTGCCAAATGCCAGGAGTTGGCATGCTGGCACTACTTGTCACTACCTTTTTTAAGACCGTACAGCCCTAAAAAATGGTAAAAGCTGGAGAAGTGGGTGTCATCGTATCTCTACGTGTTACTCTTTCATTCTGGTTTGTTCTCTTGGATCAGTCACTAGAATTTAATGAATCCATACGTCGCACCCTTCCAAACTAAATAAATTAATGAATTAATTAAATACTGCCATAAATATTTATCTGGGGTCAGCTATTTTACGTCCTTTTTCCAAGTATTACTCGTACCTGAAAAAATCAGAAATGAAATGTGACACATGCAGTTGCGGTCAGCAGGACAACTCGCAGCAATTAGCACTGTGCTTGGTAATAACAGTTTTCAAGAGAGGGTCCTTACCTTTTGCCCTGAGTGGATCACAGACACGATGCTCCCTGCTCATTTTGTAACCAAGCTGTATTTTCCAGGCGGGTTGGGATGAAATTCACATCCCAAGCATCCTGAGTCTACATCTGACTTTCACTTGGAAACATTAGAGTGTATGAAAGAGTCGCATGAATTTGAGTTGCTGCTGAATCCTACATAAATATGGCATCAGGGCCAGAATAATTAACATATGAATCATGTGCAAATGCAATTGCTTGGAATCCTATTTTCTTTTTAAGCTAGATTTGCATTCAGAGCTGAATGTTCCAGCCACGGCGCTCTCAAGCTGAAATTGGGATGAGTTTGTTTAAAAACATGTATCACATACATTGGAATATGAGCAACGATAATGAACGCTTTGAAACATCTACCTATCTGTCAGTTTTGCTCACAGAGGGAAATTATTAAGAGGGAGGAGAACCACCTACAAAAGTGCTTGTCACCCATCTACTGTAATCTGATGAAATGGAAGTGCTGAAAGAGCTCTTGCATAAAATTACAGCTAATGTACAATTTTCAGTCATCTGCTTTTTTTTTAATCTTGTATCATTAAAGCCATACACGGGAGGCAGGGGAAATTGTTTAGGGCCCCAGTTAAAAAGTAGGGTAAGGGAACATCTGCAAGAAAAGACTCCCTCTAAATGATGCAATGGCCATCTTTTTGTTGGAGATTGCATCCCCCCTTCACTGTCTGGAACATGTAGCGATGAAAATTGGCTTTGAATGTATAGATCTGGTTCCGCATCTCACGTGTGGGTGAGTAATTCTTTCTGTGATCAGTTCCCCTGAAATCAGTGTGACTGTTTTCATGACTCACCTTATCAATGCGATGACAGGTTTCATAACAGAACCCCCAGATTAGATTCACATCAAGAAATAGATACTGATGTTGTTGCCTTTGGCATGAGTAGCATGTTGCTGTGCAAGATATGCCAGGATTCAAAGTCCGTGACCCCTCTCCACAAGCGACAGAAACTGGCCCTCAAAGGTTTTGTTTGGCCCTTTTGATCCCAAAGGAAATGGGGAAGGAGCACCATATGCCTAGACTGTGGAGTCCTTACTCAGACTGGCAAAGACAAGCAATGACCCTGAAGTCAATGGGACTACTTACCCGAGTCAGACGACATCAGTGTAGGGGATCCACGATCTCGCCGTTAGCCTTGGTGGAATTATTCAGCACCACGTCTGTACTGCCATCCCATAGCACTTTGTCCCATTTTCCTCTCGTCTCATTTTAAACTGCATGGGGAATCATATATCTTGTCAGTAAGAATGGCAAAAATAAGATCCTAAATCTTATTCACAAAGGAGTGCCAATAAAGGAGCCATGATGCTCCAATGGAAACCCATCATTTAATCCTTTCTAAAAGTAAGAAATCTGAATAGTCTGTCTAGCTTCTCGCATCTGTTTGACCAAGCATTAAATGAAATATGATTGAACAGCATTTGTGGCGTTTCCTAATGATGAACAGTAGTGATCTGGTAGAGTCGTAAACAGCAGGAAGGGAAGCGAGTCAATTTGCATTGAGCCAGTACAGGGGCCGGAAGGAAAATAAGTTCTCATGGCGTATGTGAGTGCAGTAGAAAGAGAAATAGAGAGGGAGAACTGTAACATCTTTAACATTTAATGAATTAATTTGGCAAAAAAACCCCAAGTTGTTCAGTAGTTACGTCTCAAACATGTTTCTGTGTGAAAAGAACATCTGCTCTATTTTTCTCTTTCTTTTTGAGGGGAAACCCCTCCCCCCCGCCCCACTTCTTCCCTCGTTTTGTGCACAGATACTTTTAGTGCCACATAAACATTGTTTGACTAATTTAGGCTTTTGTACAATAGCTACAATGCCATCACTTTAAACAAAGGACATGGCCAGATCATTAGCTGATATAAATTGGAATAGCTCCACTGAAGACAATGGAGCTATGCCAGTTGACATACCAGCTGAGGATCCGGTCTCGCAGCATTTTGCAGATGTGGGAAGAAGGATTTTAAAATAGCATAATCTAACTATTCCTTTGCACCTACGAGCGTATGCGTCTACCTTGCAAGCCTTCATTATCATAGGGGGCAGAATAGAAATCTAAACAGTAGTACTAACAAGTAGACCAAGTTTTCCTAAGGCGTACAAGCGGACCTGTAATACTAGTGAGTCCATTTGGACGAGTAAAGAAGTATTTACATTACTGAAGGTCTCGGGATTGGGCGGGAGGTCTTAATGTGGAACAAAGCCAGTCACAGGGCGTTATTGTACATAATGCTTTCTGGCAGAGATGTTAGCCAATCTTCTGCATTGTGCTACTTGCTTTACAAGGGTACTGTTATTTAATGTTTGAATCTCACATCGTCCTGCTTCAATATTTGTTAACAGCTTGCTGTAGTGAGAGCAGAAAACAGTGATGGGTTGTGATTTTTTTTTTTTATTTTGATTATGATTTTTCTTGAATTTATTTTGGGTGATAGTAATATTAATCAGAACCACAACATCACAGAAGAGGAGAAAGGAGAGGCTGGTTTGACTCTGAGACACTGGGCAAGCTTATAACCTGTCCTTCAGTTTGCTTTACTACTGGCCTCAAGGTCACCTTAGCCAAAAGAAAAAGTATAAATTTATCTGTAGAAGTGAAAATCCATTTGAGAAGTTGGTCCAAGTCTTTGTATTATTCATTTTATCATAATGCTGGCTGTTTCAAATACACATAAAGAACCATGAAAAAGAATATAATTTACCCAGCACTGATGATATTTGGTTATCTAAAATGGCTAGGTCCAGACCCCGCTGCCCTTTGCATGATGAGAAGTTCTTGCTGATTTGAATAATCCCACGGGAAGTAGACATATGGGTGAATGCCAGTCAGGCAATGTAACTATTGCAGAGATAAAGCCTATCTATTCAGTTAGGACAGTGGGATTTATTAATTTCATCGTGCATATTAAGTTTTTTAACCTCAGCAACAAAATACGATATTTGAAATTCACAGTCTCTGTGAGGATTTATTTTTATTCAAATGTAAGAAAATGCCTTTTCTGTACTACTGTGCAGTTATCTGGGTGCAGCATGACCTCTAGTGGCAACTCCAAGTATCGTATCAGGAGATTTAAACACCAGCTATTCTCTGTGTATTCCAACTTGTACTAATGAGTCATGACACTAACGTGACAGCTTGCCAAAGATATTTTACCCAGAACTACTAAAAAAAATACATACTCAGGCAGAGATAAAGAATTTAAGGAATACAACATTTTATTTAATTAAATGCAGTATTCCTTACCTTTATAGTTACTCCCCAGTGGGAAGCATCTACACAAGATGTTTACCGCAGAGCTACCTAATTAGGTCTGCAGTAAAGTTTCTGTGTCTACATGTGTGGCCCTATTATGTTGCAGTAAACTAATAAGTTCTGCCATAGGTTAGTACTTGTAAATACAAGTACTACCTTGTGGTAGCTTTATTTACTGCACAGCAATGCACGCGTAGATGTGGATGGGGCGGGCTGGGGCATGAGGGTGCTTCAATGCATGGCTGCCTGCTGGCCAGCCCCACACTGAAGCACCCTTATGCTCCAGCCAGCCCCTCTGCAGCCCATTGAGCCAGGTTGGAGAAGCCCCAGGCTGGCAGGATGACCCCCTGCCAGCCACAGCCGCTCCGACCCAGCTCAACGCACTTGTGTAAACACGGCACCCAGGAGCAATAAACTCCAGTACAATATATGCCGGAGTTCATTACTTCAGCTCATGTGTAAATCCACCCAGTGTCTTTTTAACTTTTCCTATATTTGCTTTCAGGAGCATGAGGAAACCTATTGCCCTCCTTTACAGGTCTTTACTGTTACAATCATCTGTTTTCTCAGATATGACCCTGAAGGTCACTTGACCAATGCAACCTTTCCAACTGGTGAGGTCAGCAGTTTCCACAGCGACGTCGAAAAACTGACCAGAGTAGAGCTCGACACTTCGAACAGGGAAAATGTGATCACGGCTACAAATTTCTCCGCTACTTCTACCATATACACTTTAAAACAAGGTAATGGAAGCACATCTCTGTCCCCAAAATGATTAAATAATCAAGTCATAGAGCCTTGCTGCATTTCGAGCCAAAAAAAATGTCACCAAAATATGTACAGATGGGCCCCCTCTTCTATTTCAATACAAGTTGCTACTTCTTGCTTTATAATATTACCAAAATAGCTATCGGAAATAGACTGTTGATGAGTACTCTTCCAATTAAGAGCATATTCAAGGTCATATGGATAGATTCTGGGTTTTGAAAGCTCTGCTACCCCAAGACTTAATGTATCACTTACCACCTTGGGACCAAAGGACTGTAATTAGGATTGTTGATGCTGCATTTCATTTGGACGTTCTGAGAAATACCACCTAGAAAAACAACTTGTTCTGTGGACGTTTTAACATTGAATTGCCTTATGTGGCTGACAGGGTGAATTCAGTCCTGGCAGCACCCGTGTCTAAAGGCAGTACTTATTTAGAGGAATGACAACAAAACATGACCCACAGCAGTTGATGAGCACCTGCGCTGTGTTATATATTTCAAATGTATCGCTAGCCCCCCATAGGTACTATAGTGTTTCCCTGGAAACTATAATTATATCATGCCTATGAATTAGGAATCACTGCTTTGCTGAAATATGCCTGCTTCTCCAATCCATTAACAAATGTTCCTCCTCAATAATTTAATTCACTGATTTGAATTTAATCTTTTCTCTTTTTTATTTATTTTTTGGAGTACAGGAGAGTTTGGGGGGAGGTGGGATGTGAGGACACCAGGAAAAGGTTGCTGAAGTGCTCTTCTGCTTCCAGCCCTGTTTAGACAGACTTTGACCTTGAACAAATCAGCTACCTTTTCTGTACCTCAGTTTCTTAACCTATAAAATGGGGCAATCCACTTACTTCACAAAGCTAATGTTACCTCAGCCCAGCTTGTGAAGTCATTGGACCCTGGAGAGAGGAGCCATTGCATATGTGGAAAAGTTTGTTTTGTTGTTTTTATATTTTACTTTGGTATTGTTGTTATCCTCTGGCTGCATGATCTCTGCCCTCACGATTTTAACTACGTTTATAAATCTTTGTCCTTCAGTTGTACGCTCATCATGGAAGAGACTGTGCCTAATTCTCTTTCGCTCCGGGCAGCATATAAATAATCTAGGACAAGTTTGATACATGCACACACGCGCCCTCACACACACGTACGTACATATGTACATGTGCGTGTGTGTGTGCATGTAACAAATTTTTCATGCAATTTGCTTGTGTCATCTTTGTGGCACTCTTATAGACTATAACCTAAACAGCTCTTACATATTTAAAGAATCCAACATATTTTGAATTGAAAAAGTCACCTTTTTCTCACTTGTAGTATCCTCCTGTATTGCCACAATAAATTCACTTCCACAAATTCACTCTTTGAGAGCTGGAGTGACTGCTTTTTGATGAACAAGCCATTATGATCCTTTTTTAAAGTTCTTGGTTGGCAGGCTCCTGTATACAGCTGCATGTGAGGGGTGAGGCTCTGTGCTTTGTCTCAGAGGTGCAGCCCAGTCCTGCAGGTGGGCATGGGGCTAAAAGGCCTTGATCCTTTGTGTCCTTCCAACTGTGGCCACTCCCAGCCTTGACCCCCACCTTCCCCCTCATATAGCCCCATTGCAGAATGCAATGCAGTGTAAAGATACCCAAGTTAAATTTAATCAAGCTTACTCGTGCCCTGGAAGCAGTTTAGTGTGCAGCTCCAGACAAGTTAATTTGCCCTGCTTTGTATCAGCTTAGGTATACCTTGCTACAGCTTCTCTGCAGACAGCAATGGGGCCTCTTCCAAGTCACGACAGTCCCCATAGATCACCCTGTGGGTGGAGCACTGCATGTTGTGTCGTCACCATTGAAACACGCTGCCTGCCCCCCAGCCACAGCTGTCGCACATCTGCTACCACAAGGGAGGATCTTTGGAAAAGGCAGATTCCCACAGGACCTGCTCCCACTGCTTTTCAGAGGGCAGCATGGGGAGAGGATTGTTCCCTAGACATTGGAAAAAACAGCTGTCCTGTGTGACTTCGATTCTCAGTACAATTATTTTAAGCATGTTGAGGGGGGTTTATATTAATAGCATATTCATCCCAATAGACTAAAACCTTCAGACTATTAAAGACTTGCATTCTGAAAGACCTTTGCTGAGGTTGGAGGAAGCCTCCGCTAAAGAAGCCACGTGTAATGAATATCTGTCTGCAAGGCTGTAGGTTCCAGGTCACACAGGTACATAGAAGTTGGTAGATATTATTAAACTGGCTGTAAACTCTGAGAAAACATGACCCTTTCACATCTCACATTTGTTTCATCAAGCTGAAAAGTGCAACTTCCCCCATTTTCGTGGGTGGATTTTTTTTTTTTTTTTTGGACAGAAAACACACAGAGCATCTATCGGGTCAGCCCAGATGGTTCACTGAGGGTCACCTTTGCCAGCGGAATGGAAATCACTCTGAACACAGAGCCCCACATTCTGGCAGGAGTTGTCAACCCCACTTTAGGAAAGTGCAATATTTCACTACCTGGAGAGCATAACTCAAACCTGATTGAATGGAGGCAAAGGAAGGAGCAAACCAAAGGCAACATCTCCACATTTGAGAGGAGGCTACGGGTAAGACTTTTTACTTGTCTAAAGTGCAACATAGTTTTAAGGCAAGGGAACTAAAATCGTGTTAAATTTCTCAGCTTTGTAAAATCCACAATGGAAGATTTGTATGGGGCTGGGCCCGGGTCGGAGATTTCAACTCTGAACTTCTCATGGATTCTGATCTTTTGTCGTTTGATCTTCATAGCGAAACTTGACCTTTAAGCCCTTTTCTTCATCCTTTTTTTTTTTTTAACTACGGATTTAATCGTGGCTTTGGAAGATGTTCTGAGCAAGGAGCAATACATAGTTGCTGTGCTGCTGAAGCCAATCTGGAACCAGCTTATGACTCTGGGTACGGCGGTACTGTTCCTGCAGCAGTCTTGGGCATACCCCTCCCACTCTGCACATGCCACAACCAGAAGTGAGATGGTGACACATGGGAGCCCCTCACTTATGCTGCTGCTTTTAAAAATGCCAGAGAGAGTAGCTGGAAGAAACTCCAGCGCAGCTTTGCCACAGCATTTCCAGGTTTGGCATGTGCAGAGCCAGGGAGGATTGGCGGGGCATACTTATGAGCAATGAATCTAGCAAGCACCATTACAAATGTGCCCACTGAGTTCTGACTTCACTTATTGTCTGAAAACTAATCCTTCCTAGTCCTGTCATGGTACAGGTTACTTCCCCAGCGCACAGCTCAACAGCTCTGGCTGGTACATTTGGAGAAGGAAAAGTAAGTCAAAGCCAAGACACCACCCCTCCCCTCTCCCTACATGAACTATGCATGTTACCCCCCTGCCTGCTGCTACCCACAATGCACTGTGCACCCCCTCACTCCCCTACATGAGCACACTAGCCAGGTCACAGTCTGGTCCTAACAAAAGAGCAGTTTAACATTTTAGCCGTGGTTTGTATTTACCTTCCTGAGAATTCACAGATTACAATGACAGATGGTCAACATACTGCATTTAATTAACAGTAAAGCTAAAGCTCAAAGCAACTGTTAACTTGTAAATGGCACTTTAAGGAATCCGTTGCATTTTCCACATAAATACTCCTTGAAGCACATCTCAGTAGTAGGAATATTTAACCTTAAAAATAATGTGCCAGCAGTAAAAGCCCTCAGGGATGTGTATTGTCTGAGATTATGTCATAATGTAAAATTAAACCGGAAAAGTGCATGGGTGGTTATTGATCATATATTTCAGTGGTGCCTCTTGGTTGTCAGTCCTACATAATTCTTACCCAGCAAAGTTTCTTAGTTTAGTTTATTCAGTTTAATCTCTGGGTTGTTTCTTTAATTTGAATACAGAATGTGCACATTTGCATCTGTCCTAGATATCTGCTAGTGAATCATGCACCTATGATCAGGGGTGGATCTGATGGGGAGGAAGCAGGTGTGGCATCGCCTCTGCTGCCACCACTGTCCCTAACAGATCTGGGCTCAGGGGAAGCGCCAGATCTGCTCTTGTCACACATTATAGTTGGCAGGGGACAGCGATGGTGGCACACAGGCTCTTTCTACCAGCGCCTGCTCCTGGCCAGTGGGGGACATCAGAGAGGGGGCAGAGGGAAGGCAGAGAACAGGGGCTGCAAAGAATGTGTGTGTCACTGCCACTTTCCCCAGCAGAGCCCAACTCCCCCATGCAGCTGCTTGCCACGGCCCCTTGCTGACGGACGGCAGGAGTGGCTCTGAGGCAGCAGGGGACAGCAGCAGCGGTGTCAGCAAGGGAGCGGATTCCACCCCCCTTTTTGGGCACCAGCTCCCTGCCCAGCTCACCGGTGTCCCACTGGCAAGGGGCTTCAGCCATGCCTTGCTAAAGGGGGATGGACATGAGGTGGTGTGCCACATGGATGTGCCCATGCCCTTGATCAAGGGGTGTTTTTCTGTATATAGTTCCTGATGTTCTGAAACAGGCAGTGTGAGTGGATGCCCTTCATCCTTCAGATACAAATTGCCTCAAAGATCTTGCATATGAAATAAAGCACAAGATGCAGTGAAACGCTTAGGGCATGTCTACACCTCGTCCCCTGGGACTGCTGCTGAGAATCTCATGTATCCATTCACTCCCATTCCACATGCACCTAAGCCCAGCAATTAAGCAGAGTACCCATCCAGAGCACACACCCCAGTGCCACCCTCAGCATCTTTGCAATGGCACTGGGTGCTAGCCCGAGCCATACAATAGAGGAAGAGTGCCTTGGAAAGCCTGTAATGTAGGGCAGAAAGTCTGGTGCTGAACTTTGAGAATATATGCATGAAAAGGCTCCGGGGCTTGGGCTGGTTCTCAACAGAGATGAACAGAGTTGCAGGAGTCCTCAATTAAAAAAAAACTAGTCAGCACAAATCTGAGTTTTAAGAATAAAGGGGAGAAATGAGGTCGAATGATGTCTCTCGAAGATGAGTCGTGGCATGCTTAAATTGGCCAAGTAATTCAGGACATTGAAGCAAATAATGCAAATGAGCGTAAGGGATCTAGGATATAAATTACAATGCAGGAAACCGGGGGGAGGGGGAAAGAGTGGCAGAGTTTTAAAAACAGTAGGCTCCTTCCTCTCTTGTATTTCCTGTTGTTCTCAATTCCTAGCCCCTATTAACAGCCAGCACCAGGGCATGTGACCCCTTAGGTCTGTTAAAGCTGCCCCCAGGTGAGAGACAGCTGAGCCATTACTGACAGGCCTTGAAATAAGCTATAACAGTTATATTTTAGATGCGGTACAAATATATTTTAGATGTATGTTAAGGATGCTGTGTCCCAAAAATGGAGCAGAGAGGAGGATCTGAAACATAACTAACTAGAAATTCTGGAGCCAGGGCCACGAGGCTATTCAGGTGGGCAACTCTGCAGTTACTCCTAACTTTCATCTAAGTGACCTGCTGATTCTTAAAAGTACGTAAAACAGTCTGTAGGTATTTGTATGTCTTTACATTAATAACCCACATAAACCCAGGCATATTACCATCCATCTTAATCTAGCAAGACTTCTTTTTTATCAATCGCACTTCTATTTTAATTGACTTCTAAAAATGAAGTGAAGGCGGCTGTTAAAACCATTGAGCATGATGCATAGTAATATATCAATTAGAATTCAGTGCTTTCTTTTTTGAGAGGGAGCCCAGAACTGGATGAAGTCCAGTTTTTACAAGTGAATGTTTACAGAATTGGAGATCGGATGCTTGGCCGATCTCACTTATTTGCACCTTAAGAAAAGCTCACACAAACAACTTGCTGACTAAAACTCAGCTCAGAAGTCTGAAGGATATGGGCTTTGCCAGACATGTTTACCCAACTATTTTATAACCCATTTTTCTATAATTTATTAGTCTTGTAACCAGGAACTTCACAACTATAGGATCAAATTGGTTTACCTTTGTTAAAGTTAAAATACAGCAGTAATGTGCAGACACCTGCAGATTACTTTGCCCATTCTTAGGCAGCATTAGGTCTGAGAATTGAAGTCAGTGAAGCTATACAGTTTGTATCAGCTAAAGATCTCCATAGCTGTAAAGTTACTGGGTACCAGAACAATACCAATAGTGAGTGACTTTGTTAAGAAACATACCTGTTTCTGAACTATTGACTTCAGCATAGAGCTATATACAACTGAGTTACACCAGTTTACACCAATTGAGGCTCTGGTTGTATAGTTCTTTAGTATTCATAGAAGGTTAGGGTTGGAAGGGACCTCATGGGGTCATCTAGTCCAACCCCCTGCTCAAAGCAGGACTGTCCCCAACTAGATCACCCCAGCCAAAGCTCTGTCAAGATGGGCCTTAAAAACGTCCAAAGATGAAGATTCTTCCACCTCTCTAGGTAACTTGTTCCAATGCTTCACCACCCTCCTAGTGAGAAAGCTTTTCTTAATATGCAACCTAAACTTCCACTGCTCCTTGTTCTGTCATCTGCCACCACTGAGAACAGTCCAGCGCCATCCTCTTTGAAGCCACCCTTCAAGTAGTTAAAGGCTGGTATCAAATCCCCCCTCAGTCTTCTCTTGTGCAAACTAAATAAACCCAGTTCCCTCAGCCTCTCCTAAGTCATGTGCCTCAGTCCCTGAACCATTTTCATTGCCCCCCGCACTGAACTCTCCAACTTGTCCGCATCCTTTCTATCATGGGAGGCCCAAAACTGGACACATTAGTCCAGATGTGACCTCACCAGTGCAGAATAGACGGGAGTAATTACTTCCCTCAATCTGCTGCAGTGCTCCTACTGATGCAGCCCAGGATGCCGTTAGCCTTCTTGGCAATCAGGGCACACTGCTGACTCACATCATCTTATTGTCCTCTGTAACCCACAAGCCCTTTTCTGCAAGGCTACTGCTTAGCCTGTCAGCCCCCAGGCTGTAGCAGTGCATGGGATACTTCCATCCTAAGTGCAGGACTTTGCACTTGTCCTTGTTGAATCTCATGAGCTTTCTTTTGGCCCATTCCTCCAATTTGTCTAGGTCATTCTGAATCCTAGCTCTACCCTCCAGTGTATCTACTATGCTGAGGGTGAAATCCATCCCATCTTCCAGATCATTAATGAAGATATTGAACAAAATCGGCCCCAGGACCAACCCCTGGGGCACTCCACTTGATTCCAGCTGCCAGCTAGATACTGAGCCATTGATTACTACCCATTGAGACCAATAATCCAGTCAGCTTTCTGTCCACCTTACAGTCCATTCATCCAACCCATACTTCCTCAGCTTTCTTGCAACAATACTGTGGGAGACAGTATCAAAGTCAAGGTATGTTATGTCCACTGCTTTCCCTGCATCCACAGAATCAGTCATTTCATCATAGAAGGCAGTTGGGGTGGCCAAGCATGACTTGCCCTTGGTGAATCCATGCTAGCTGTTTCTAATCACCTTCTTCTCCAAGTGTCTAGAAATGGATTCTTTGAGGACCTGCTCCATGATTTTTCCAAGGACTGAGGTGAGGCTGACTGATCTGTAGTTCCCTGGATCCTCCTTCCCTTCTTAAAGATGGGCATTATAATGGCCAGTGGCTCTGCAGTCACATCAGCCAACTTCCTCGG